CAACAGGGCAGTAGTCCGCAGGCTTTAAGAGCGAATGGTGTTAAAAATTATAGGTAAGAAACAAGTGCCAAATATATATTAAATGAACAATTTTGAATATATTGATAATTGAAATTGGGTTTAATTAATATCATTTTAAATTTAAAGCTATATCAGAATCGTTTTGATATGAAAATGATATATTTTACTTAACATGCATAGTAGCCAGTTCAGTATAAGTTATTTTTTGATCATACATTTGGAACGGTAGTTCCTTTCAGAGGGACTCCGATAAAATTCTAATTCTATACAAAAGTAACGGAAATATTTGATAAATAATCTGTATTAATGAAATATATATATATATATATATATATTTAATAAATATAATATTGTTGTTTATTATGCATTTGATTAATATTTTAATTTTAATTTGCGTTAAGGGGGTTGTTCGTTTTTTTTACAAAAAATGCAAGGTATTTGTTTTTGTTTTTTCGAAATGTATTTATCATAGAGACATGCGTTTTTTTTAAACAAAAATTATAAAATCAGAATATTACGAAATTTTCTTTTTTTTGCTGTCATTTTTTAACCAGGGGCCGCCAAAAAAAATAGATATTGAGATGATTTTTTTTTTAAATAATTCTAAGGTTTTTAGTTTTCATAATATCAAAAAATCTCAAAATCGAAGAAAAATAAAATAAAAACCAAACAACCCCCTTAAACTTAATAATTGGGCAATTGGGCGATTGCATCATATACTTCAGTTTTAAATCAATTTATCAAAAAAGTTATTTAATTATCGTTTAGAAACTCAAATGGAAGTGGGGATGCAGATGAAGGAAGCTTATCACGATCTGCGAGCGACAGTAGTGTTGCAGGTGGCCAAAATGCAAATAATGCTTTGGCGACAAATGCGAATAATAATCATGGGTAATTAGAAACCGATATGACAAATTTACGATATAATTAAAAGCAATATTAAAAAACAATTGTATTATATTTTACAGCAGCTCAGCAAGCCCTGAATCTGGCTTGGGGGCATCTCACAGTTCATTACCAGGGCCTACATCTGTAGAAGTTGATGTTGTTGATACAATAAATAATGATGAAACCTACTATGAAGCAGATACGTTGCAACCGCTTGGTTCTTGCCGTGCTCTTTATCCGTTCGAAGGTATGAGTTGTTTGCTACATTTTAAACTTCCCGAAGGAGAAGTTTATGTTTTCATTAAAAAATCCGATTCGCTAATTTTATGTTTTCTCGGTGTTTCAAACCATTCTGAATCGAATGAGACCAAATTAGGAAAAAGTATGTGTGTGTGTGAACAGATTTTTTGCTGTAAATCGACGTTTTCTCAAAAACGGATGGACCGATTTCAAAAATTCAAAAGCCATTTTTAATGTATCTTGATGAGGTCTAGCATCAACTTTGCGCAACGATCAGCCAAGCCGTTTCTTTGTAAATGGTAAAGTGAAAAATTTTTAGCCCGCAATTCTGAATCGATTTTGATAATTCAAAAACCGTTCGAAAGATATTGGTTGGCAATCGTGCTGATTAGTTCTTGGTAAAGATCGGCCGGGCCGTTTTCTTGTAATAAAGTGTTAAAAAAATTTTTTCGACGATTTTTATGATTTTTTTTTGACGGTAGATACCACAGTCTTATTATAGATCATACTAAAATATTACATACTAAAAAATTAATATGTTTTTTTGGCGTTTGTCAAAATTAGAACTTTCATCGACGCCCGAACCGATTTCAAAAATTTAAAAGCCAATCGATGTATTATGCTGTAGATTATCTTCTCTTAATTTTGTGCAACCATCGGTTGAGCCGTTTCTTTGTAAATAGCAGAAAAGTGAAAAAAAATTGTCCACGTTTTAGCTCTCAATTCTGCTTAGCTGCTGTTCTTACAGATAATTTAAACGTGCTTGAGAAAATTCTATTGGAAATTGCAATGTTTAGATTTGGTTGATAGCGATAACTTTATTTTCGAAATAAATAGTTGAAAACTTCATCTCAATTTCGGTTGATTAAGTCAATTTTCACACATTTCGGGAAATTCATGCAACTTGCCTTAAGGCTACATGCCACTTTCAACTAGTTTGAAAATATATTGTTTGCTTTCCTATTTATTCACATGTATTGTGCTGCAAGTTTTAGGACTTTATCCTGAATGTTTTTAATTGTGTAATTTAATTTCTCGTAAGCTAAAAGTATTGGTATAAAGAAAAAACTATCTAAAACTTATCAATATTATTAATATGTACTTTTTCATATTAAATCTTTCGGAATGCTCAAGTTTGTTGATTGAAGTATGTGAAAGTACCACAATTAAAAACATTATAGTAAAAAACATTTTGAAGTCATGGTTTTCATAAATAATTATCCCATCAGCGACGAGCGATGGCTCAATACCAATGGAAGAAGGCGAAGAACTACAAGTGATGGAATTAGATCAGGGTGACGGCTGGACACGTGTGAGACGGTTAGGAGGGCCCAATGGTTGGGAGGAGGGATTTGTACCAACGAGTTACATCGAAAGTACATTATTTGCATAACCAAATGCCTAAACTTGGATCGTGCGGGCATGAGGGGTCGTGGCGTAAGTACAGTATTACATAAATAATAAGACACTTATTTTTGAAATTTGTCACCTTCGATTAAACTATATAAATGTCACGGTCAGTTTCAATAACATTAGTAAGAACTATACACGTTTTTAAGGGTTTCATTCAAGGTTTGTGTTTCAAAGATTAAAGAATTAAAATTTTTAATTAAATATTAAAGATTATTATGTATTTCGTTCACATAAATTGATGGTCTAGCGAATTAAAATTGGATGTGAAAATATCACTCTTTATGGTTTCCTTAACTTTTTCATTTTGATATTACTTATTATTAATTTTAGCAGACTGCTTTTTCTGATATATTTTTTTCAAAGATAATAAGTTACAAGAGCGAATTACTGTTGTATATATCAGGAAAAAATTGAAACGTTTATGATGTTGCAGAATGTTGTAACTGATCTATGGTGCTTGAAGCTTTGTGATGTCTTGTTGCAAGTAAATATTTCCGGGCTAAGAATATGATGTTGTTTATATAAAATAACAAATGCAGAGAAATATATATTTAGCATTGCGTGGAATATAAACTCCTATAAAAAGTATTTAATTGTGAAATCTGAATCATGTGAATGGAAATTTTTAGTATTAAATTTATTCTCTAAATATTTTACATATACACAATATATTAAATGCAGTAGGTAGTTGATTTCTCCTTTTTCTAATGACTAGTATTTTATTGTGTTGTGAATACTTCATAAACTATTTTTGTGAGTTCCTGAACTTTATTTGGTTCAGAAATATTTTTCCAAATCATTTTTTACAAATATGAATTGCTTATGATAATTTGCTCAAAACTATATAAATATATGGAGATATGTAAGACTACTACTAGTCATAATGTATTTTTTAATTGATAATTCCAGTGCTACATAATTTAATGGTAGGACATAAAAATAGAAAGCTATCACTGCTAAAATTCATTTAATAGATTAAAGTATTAAAGTATTTATACTTTTATGGTAAAAATTGAATGTATTTCCTATGAATACATAATAGCTATAATCATTATTAATAATCACAGTTTTGTAAATCCATTGTGAAATTTAGTTAAAAATCTCATTCAGAATCTTTGGTGGATTGCATATTGTGATAATGCCTCTAATATGCAAACTAAGGGGCTGGACCTATACTAATACATATTCATTTTAAATTGCTTATATAGATTTGTAAATATTATATTCTTTTAAAAATTAAATATTTGTCAATATGTATATGTGTGCTTATATACCTCGCTGGTATTACAAGCACAAGGTGTATAATGCACAGTATTTTTAGACTAAAGTAAGTAGAGATAATTATGTATGATATGTATTTAAAAATAGTGTTATGTTAGATACATTTTGATAGATAAAATCATCATTTAAAATATTTTGCCAGACAATTATTAGGCCAATTGTTATAAAATTGTATACCACAAGTCAGATTCAGTAAACTCGTAGTTTTAAGCAAAGTTGATACAAACTCTGATAACAAAGGCAATATTTACAGCAAAATAAATAAATATATGAAAAAAAAATCTTACAATAAATTTTTGTTTCAATCAATCAAATTCTTGAATCTCAAAAATATTATATTATCAGTTAGCAAATGACCTTCTGCTTATCTATATCGTTATAATTCAGCAATGCTCTGTTCAGCTGCTATTATGCCTTTGCAATAAGATTCTATAGCTTAATAAAAATACTGATATCTGAGTTTTACTATATCTAAGTGTGTGGTACTGATTTTAAGTTATTTATTACTATTTGTTTGCCATTATTAATTTATTTCTGGTTAAATCCTAAACTTATTCTCATAATGTTGTAATGAATGTGTTTGAATTTGTATTTGTATGGCAGTTGTTTTTTAACAATAAAAAAAAATTATATTTTGTTGAAAAAGCTAAAACTCGGTGGCATGTTTTTCTTGACTGAATGTAATCTTATTAATGAGTAACAAATAGTTTTGAATGTCTATGTTTTGAAGATAAATATATATATATATCATGAATTCATTTCATAATTGCTATGTACATTCATGCTGAAAATAAAATAATCAATATAAAAACTTTATTTTTTAGATCGTGTATTTAGATAATTTGATAATAAAAATTTATTTATATGTAAAACATGCTTATGATATTACAGTTAGGAATGAAAATATATCAACTGTTTAAATGACTAACTAATAAAATATTAACAAATTATGGATAAATACACTCCATTAATAAATAAATAAATTACCAATATATCATTACTCATTCTACTTTAGGGCCAAATAATTTATTCAGATCAAACATGCAACAACTGTAAAGATTACATAATAAACTGAAGCTTGAGTAATAACAAATTATAATCAGCTGTTATTTATCGATGATGGATGAAGTTTCTTCTGAATAAATAACTTTCTGGCAGTTTATTTGATTTCATGAATATAATTCTTTTATTTAAAATAATATATAAACTGAACATCAAATATAAATTTATTTCTATTGGCATGTAACCAATATAAATATTAGCTCAATATAATATAAGAACTTTCAGCAAATGTTTTAAAAGGCAACAACACCATTTTAAAACTTACATGCAAAATTATGATTGTTTGCTAATAGTATGGCAAAGCTATATTTCTTTGTGATACTTTCAGAACAGGTATTCATTGACTCTCTTCCCTATTTATAGGTCTATTATAAAGAAAATATTTCATATTTGAGCAAATATTCTGCCAGAAACGTGTAATAATTACAGGTTTCATATTCAAAATCTATAAAATGGACAATAAGGCTTTTGATTTGAATGATTTTATCACATTCGACTCAAATAGTCACAGAGAAAACATTTTGTGTTTGTGTAATATTACGTATCACCACTTCCACAACAACTACTGTCTGCTGCAACTTTTCTTTGAGATTTAAGATCTACAGTTAAAGGATCAGTTCCAGATATTGATTCTGCTTTTCGATCATAACTCAACCATTGTCGAACAGCCAAAGTAAAAGCTTCTAGAACATTTTGGGAAGTTTTCGCTGAAGTTTCAATGAAACATGTTATATGGTTATCATTACACCAATCAGCAACATACTCTAGAGATATTTGTCTAGCTTCAGGGGGAACGTCACACTAAAAATGTTTGAATGAGTCATAAAATAAATATAGCAAATGAAAAATGATTCATAATTAAAATATATTGTACCTTATTTCCTACAACTATAAAGGGGAATGTATCAGGTGAAACATCAGCATAGCGCAGGAATTCTTCACGCCATTCTTGCAGGCCTTTGAAACTCGCTGAGTCATCAACAGCATAAGTTAATAGGCAAACATCTGATCCTCTATAAAAGGGAGTTCTAAGTGCTCTGAATCGTTCTTGACCAGCAGTGTCCCAAATCTTGAAATGGATAAATTTTTTTATTAAACAAGAATAATTTTATTTTAGTGTGTTCAGTTCAGCTAAATATGGGAATCAATAAAAAAATAAAAAGGCAAAACTGATGTCAAAATATTAATAGGCGCCCCAAGTGATTTAAAAAAGTGCACAAAGTAAAAACAGCTTCATGTTCATAGAAAGGTAATAAATAACATTAATATAGATTGAGACAGGAATGAAAAAAAAAAGGATAAACCTTAGTTATAGAAAAAAATCTATTTACATTTTTTTTTTCATGTGCCATACAATTAAGATGTTTATTTTTGGATTCTCAATTAACTATCATTTTCTATTTAATTTTTTAAATTACATGTGTGTGTGTAATCTGCTAATATCAACTATTAAGACTTTTTCCATTATACGTATTTTATTTTTTTAACTAGTGTAGTAAGTTTTTTTATATTTTATTTGTATTCTTATTTATCATTATATCTATTATTTACATAGATAGTTTTTTTACATTTTTATTTATTATTTTATAATTTTATAATTTTTAAATATTTATTATATATATATATATATATATATATATATATATATATATATATATATATTGAAGTTGTGTCCACTATAGAAGATTCAAATTAGGATTCAAATTGCATGTATTTTTTAAAAATAATTTTGTTTAATTATTAATAACGGAATGAAAGTGAAAAAACTTGTTGGTTCTTAATTATATGTATATCGGAATGACAATGTAAAGATTGAATGGAGATCATCATTCGGTTGGTTACCAAACAGTTTGCATTTACGAGTGGCATTTGTTGGATTTATTACAAATTCAATTGATACTGTTTTAGGATTTCAAACCCAAAACAATAGTAAGAAGATAGTCGCCGAAAAAAATTTTACCTCCGAAGATTGTCTGACTGCCCGCGTTACTGAGCCACCCTGCCAACTCAATACACATTTGGGAAAGTATAATAATTTGGATCTGGTAAAACAGCATAGTTTGGAGCCTAAGAACAGCTAGACAATGTCTTGAAAAAAATTACAAGGAATCACTATTTGAGTCAACTCAGGCTAGTAGATTTATTATTTAAGATTTTTTTTGTTTGTGTTTCGTAACTGAAATACTGTTTGACTCTGACAATAGCTAATAAAAACGGACTGCGCTAAATAATAGTAAACTTAACTGCTATTAAATTATTTCCAAAAGTTAATCAAGATACACCAATGCTAACTATAATTGAGACTACCACCAGAAAAAAAAAACTATATTTGATTCTTGGAACAAATTGAAGTGTTGATTATAATAAAAGAATATGCTAGTTATTGAATCATATTTATTTCTATCAGAAAATTGAACAGTTTAAAGCAAAATGTAATGAGCCATTAAAAAGTTTTGAAATAGGGTTGAAATGCTATTATGATAGATCAATTACTTTAATATTTAATACAAATACGTATAATTTATCCAGATTTATTTTAAAGATATTTTGATGTACAAAATTATATTAGTATATTTGTGTTCTATGTGTGGACTTAGATCCGGTCAAACGGATAATTTTTTTAGACACATTCAAATATTAATAAAATAAAGAACGATTAAGTACAGCACAAGAAAGGTTTTGTAATAAAATCAGTTATGTTTATTATGTGAAATGGAATTAGCACCCACCATTTATGCCTTTGAAACTAGCTTTTTATGCATTAACTGAGCATAATATAAAAATTATTCTGCGACTACATCCTTTTGACTAGACATTTTTTTTGTCTTAAAAGGCTGAAAGAATGTTGTGTTGGAGGAAATTCTGTCAAAAACTATTATCCCACAAACAGAATGCAATTTTTTTGCTCTAATGAAAATATACATAAACATGATGATATGTAATTTTGGTAGGATAAACATGTTTGAATAGGATAAACTTGTTTGACATTATATGAAAAAATAGGTGACTTAAATTTTCAGATATCATCAACACTTTGTACTTTGTACAACATAATTGTAACATAAATTTTAGAATAATGTTACTTTTAATGTAGATAAATTAAGACATTTTATATTTGCTATTTTATTTTATTAGACTCTTGTTGATTTTTACTTACGAAAATATTCAAAAATCAAATCTATCAAATTTACCTGCAATGTATAATTTTCACCGTCAACTTGAATTTCTTTATTCATAAATTCGACACCAATAGTATGAAAACTGTGTTCATCAAAATGATTTTTGACAAAACGATTCATCAAGCAACTTTTACCAACTCCACCATCACCCAAAATCACAACTTTCAATAGGGTGTTTTTAAATTGCGAAACCATGACTGGATTGTTATTTTTGACGACATTATCATCTGTAAAAGCAAATTGTTATTTACGTCATTTTGACATTTCAATCCAAAAATCATATTTGCCACACCCGGGATATGAGAACTAAAATTCCGGTCCATAGATAAAATCTGTTATGCTCCCATATCCAACTCAATCAGAAACTGTCACTTGGTTCGCTTAGACCGTTCATGGCGACTTTATAGTGAAACATATTTTAAAAATCCTTAATATTATAATTAACCCTCCGTCGGTCGGCGTGGTCTGGCCGGACTTTTTTCGACTTCAATTTAAAAAAAAATACTTCCAGTAATCCTATCGATTTGAAATTTCTTGACTTTTCCTAAAACTTCATTAGCTGTCGATCAATGAAAAAATCAGGACAAAAAAATGTACAGAAGGATAATTATAAGGATATTAACTTTTTTATACTTCGAACGGTCGGAGTGGTCTGTCTCTAGACCACCCATACATTTTGTATGAAATATACGCTTTAATTCTTTGCCATGTGTTGTAAAATGAATGCCTTAGTATTTTCACGATGAGAGTTGCTTGAAAACCTACCAAACTTATTGGTCATCGCAAACATTGAAAATCGGATGATTAATACGCACATTATCAATAATTTTTCTACCCGTACTGCGTTCGAAATTTTTTTTGGCAAACCTGTAGTAAAATTATATTTTCAACTTGAATTTTACAGCTCATTTCAAAGGCGACGCTACTCATTTCGTTTTCATTTGAATTTCACATTCATTTCGAAGGAGCTGAAAAAGAATAAATATTGTTTTTCATTTATATTAAATAGAAAAATAAAAATAATAAAAAAGCAACGATTTTTTATATTCTTTGATTTTTTATATAATATAATATAGTATATAATTTTTTTATTATAAGCAAGCTCAACACATGCAAAAGACGGTAAGAAAAAAAAATCAAAACTATAAATATTTACTACTAATAATTGTTAACATATAAGACACCAAAAACTTATTTACCCCATATAAAAGCATGTGCAGCAAAATGAATGGTGGTCCAGCCAGACCACTCCGACCGTTCGAAGGTGAATAAATATCCGACCGACGGAGGGTTAATAATAAAAATATTCTAAACATAGATAAGAGAAGAGTATAAATATGACACGAATAATCGTTGGGTTGGAATGTTGTTAGAAACAAGATTTATTACTACAACCTCTCCTTCGGCTGTTAAATTCTGATTGCTGTTCAAAAATAACAAACATAGGTGCAAGGTAAGGGTTTAATACAGTTACATGATGGTTACATGAACTTTTCGATATGTGTAAATAATCAACATGAAAAATTGAATTTTAGCAACTTTTAAAAAAATGCGATAAAATCTTAAACTATTTATTTTGAAAAATAGGTTTTCCCTTTTTACTAAATACTTATCTATGCTGTTTCCAATTGATATCTTTTCAACATACTTATATATTCATATGTCTATAATTGTAATAATTTATTTCAATATGTTAATTTTAATACATTAATATTTTATTTGAGAAGTGTGGGTATCAACCAACCAAGTGTGGGTAGTGGGTATTATTATATTCTCTAGGCTCTAGGGTATCAACAACCACTTATCGTAGGCCTATAATATTTTAGAATGCTTGACCCATAGATAAGGAAATAGATAGAAAACTTGGGGGATATTTGGAGTCAACGGAATAATTGCACACGACGCTAGAGGCGCTAGTGTTCGTAACAGGTTGCAGAACTTTTTGCAAAAGGTTTCGGTTTGACCCATAGACCTTATACAATTTCATGGACTGCTAGTCCCCATACATTTCTCAAGTAAAAAAGTGTCAAAAGATGTTCTATGGTATGAGGGCAAACGAGGGTAATTTTGCGGCCGAGATATGTCAAACTCAATCGCTTGAACGTCAAATGAAAGTCCGTGTGTTCGAAATTGTTAGGAAAATATTAAATAATATACAATTTATGTTAAACTAATGAATGTAATGAACTATTTATATATTTATTTATTTATTTTAGTTATACAAAGTGTTTAAGGAAAATAAGAAAAAAAAAATAAAAAAATATTTTACATATTATAAAATTCACTGAAAATAAGAACAGTTGGCTAGAGCTATTATGGGAAATTAGAAAGCAACAATGAAATATTTGTTTAAATGTAATATATTTATTATTGGTGTTTAAAAAGCACAATTTTTGTGTGAAAGTGGCGTACATTTTTATCAACTTTGCTTTTTTTATGTTCTTCATGGTGCATTCTAATTGTTAAATACATTTTTGCGACAAAGTTGATAAGGTCATGATAGTGCTGGACAAATTGCTGGAAATGGCTTAATCTAAAAAAATGTGCAAGTCCCAAGTCATTCAAATTTCGGAGAATCGTGCTTTCATATGAACTTTTGTACATTAAATTTAAAAAATTTCGAATTAGGGTTTCTATATATAAATATAATTTAAACATTTCATCGGAAGGATATGAAAGATATCCTCGATTTTTTATATCGATGAATGTCGAATTTCCCGGAATACTTGCGAAGCATTCAGAACAGGTTTTACTGCAATCAGGAACTTTACCACAGACCAAACACATTTTAGAAGACATTTTACTTTTAACAATTTTACAACAGGTATATTTTTATCCTCTTTTAATTTAAAAACCCGAGCGATCAAACATCACGTGAACCCAAGTAACTGTAAAATTTAAGCGATCGAGTGCATTCGACTAATCTCGGTAAAGCTCGTGTTCGTATTTGACATATCTCGGCCGCAAAATTACCCTCGTATGCCCTCATACCATAGAACATCTTTTGACACTTTTTATGCGCTCAACTAGCAGTCCATGTATTGTATAAGGTCTATGGGTGATTCTCTGTACCTCTCGCTCTCGGGCTCTCGTTCTAATTCGTAAAAATCACGAATGGTCCACGCTTTATGCGGCTTATTATATATAAATGTGAGGTTCTTTTTTGGCCTGATGATTTTTTCTTCTAATAATTGTTTCTAGTGCATCGCTTTTAAGTTTTGCATTTCTGGTAAATACTGATGACATTTATTTCACTTGTAGCTTTTGCCAGTTGCAGTCTTAACGTATTTGATTTTTGGCACATGGTCTTTATTTCGTGTTATTCTAGTTAAATAAGATAAAAAATGAATTGCAATAATGGATTGGATTCTGACATTGATTTACGTGATGGTTTATCAGCTCAAGAATTACTCGAGAGAGGAGAAGGTTTAACCTATGAGTAAGTACTTCAATTAAGTAATGTTTTCTCTGAGTATATATAATAATTGCATATTTTAGTGATTTCATTATCCTTCCTGGTTATATTGATTTTACTGCTGATGATGTGGATTTATCTTCTCCGCTTACAAAAAATATAACTCTAAAGACTCCTCTTGTATCTTCTCCAATGGACACTGTAACGGAGTCTGATATGGCAATTTCTATGGCAGTAAGTTATTTTTAATAAAAAGTTTATAAATCATTATTTATTTTGAATGTTAACGCAAATTATTGCAGCTTTGTGGTGGAATTGGAATTATTCACCATAATTGCACAATGGAATATCAAGCTAATGAGGTTCTTAAAGTTAAGAAATACAAACATGGATTCATTAGAGATCCCGTAGTGATGGGACCTAACAATATTGTAAGTACAATGATTTATACAATTGTACAAAATATGTGATACTAATACATGCTGATGACACTACTTAATTATAAGTAGCTTAAAACATAATTTTGATGATTAGATCTAATATAAGGATTTTTTGTTCATAAGTGACAGATGTTTTTATGCCATACTTATTAATCAAACTTCTGTGAAATATGTATCAAATGTGCTTTTCAATATTATGTTGATTGAATTATAAAAAGCGCTGATCAGAATCTTATATCAAATGTTTATTATTCACTGTAATCTCTTATTGTCGCATAATGATTGCTTCAAATCCCTTCAGAGGTTTCTATCTTATTATTAGAAAAGGGCAAAAATGTTTTATTGTTGTTTAAAATTGTTAAATGTAAACTTAATGCATATGACTAATATCTCAGAGTATTACAAGCTTATGTATCAGTTAAAATTAGTGGATTTAAAATTGTCTTAATTTTGTTTGATTAGAAGATATTAGCTCTGTATGGCCAATTAAAAATGTTTTTTTTTATTTAATAATGAATCCAGGTCGCTGATGTTACTGATGCAAAGAAAAAGAATGGGTTTACCGGCATTCCAATCACAGATACTGGAAAATTAGGAGGAAAACTAATTGGCATAGTTACTTCGAGAGATATAGACTTTCGAGAAGACAAAACATCCAGGCTTTTAGATGTATGTTTGATTTTTTTAAATTTTGAATAAAATCTTCACAAAATATTTTGTTACTATTGGATTTTCTGCAGGTTATGACTCCACTAGAATCCCTCATTACTGCTAAATCTACTGTTACCTTACAAGAAGCCAATCATATATTAGAAAATAGCAAAAAAGGAAAACTTCCCATAATTGATGACAAAGGGGCTTTAATTGCTTTAATTGCAAGAACAGATTTGAAGAAGTCTAGAAGTTATCCTAATGCCTCCAAAGATTCCAATAAGCAGCTTTTAGTTGGTGCTGCAATTAGTACAAGGCCTGAAGATAAAGAGAGGTGAGAAAGTTTATTATGTTTATTATCAGTATAGAGTGCATTATCAGTATTGAGTGCTTTTCTACTAAATTGAACATATGAGTAAGAGCAAAAACTCATTAATGATCATATTACATTATTATATTATATTGCTTATATCCAATGTGTTAAATCACCATAATTTTCAATATTTTTAAGAGTTTACACTAGTAATTTTTTGATACTGGTTTAAGATCCGTAATGAAGATAAATAACATACTATAATTGTTGAGTATTTTTATTTAAAACAATATGAGATCTATATTATTTTCAAATAATATAGCTTTAAGTAAAATAATGTTTTATTAAAATTTATAAAAACAAACATATTTAGTAATCATTATAATTATTATGTATAAAATTAGAACAAAATAAAGATTACGCAGTGGCAATCTTTATTTTGTTGATCGTGAGTATTTATATTATAAAATATTTTCTCTTAAAAAAAACATTACATTTTAATGTAAGAAACATCAGTAATCATCAATCTGATTCTATTTATTCAGACAAGTTATGAAGCTCTTTGGAAAGCAATAAATATTCAGTTTAATGATGAGCTGAGATAATATTTTGGCATTTGTTTATGCAATAGGACCACCTAAAGATATATCTATAAGCGATTATGGAATTCAAAAATAAATTTGTTCTGAGAAATTTAATCTCGAATGTACTATTTGATACATATTAGTGCTTATGTAAAAAAATATCATTATCAAAATTTTACTTATTTATTTGATTTGTAATTATTTATGAAATAGGACTGTAAAAGGATTTAATTTTACATTCACAATTTCAATAATGTATGAGAATTCTGTACAAAACAAATAACTTAAAATGTCATAAAAATGTAAGCATTTGCTTAAAATTTTTATGCCTATTTACAGGTTGAAACTTTTAGTGCAAAGTGGAGTTGATGTCATTGTTTTAGACTCATCACAAGGAAACTCCATATATCAGTTGGAAATGGTTAAACACATTAAACAAACATATCCTACATTGCAAGTTATTGGTGGCAATGGTAATTATTTTAATTAAAATCATGAAATTCTTTTAATCAATGTAGTGCTTTATTTTTAACTCTTTGGGTACGCATTTGTTTGAGAAAATGTTTGTGTTTGAAATAGAAAAAATTTTAAGTTTTGTAACATCTCTAGGTAGTGGCTTACTAAAAGATTTTATATTAGGAGGGGGGGGGTGCTTGAGCCTTGAAGGGGGTGGCGCGGCTTGACAAAAAATCATGAAATATTACGTTGGAGAAGGGAGGTTCTAACAAGATATCGTGCGTATTTATTTTTTACCTCAAAAACTATTCAAAAATTTTGATTTTTTTTTCTGATTACTTAAAATAGAGGAGGGTGTGGGTTAATTTTAAATATCACCAAGGGGGATATCAAAAATTCGTATAAAATTCTCACTTGATTAATGAACGTCTCCTCAAAGCTTGGTAGATGTCTCGTATGCCTTTGAAATTTTGCTTTGCAACTTGATAACTGATTAAAAGCTACGATGCATATAAACAGAATTGTGTTTGTTATTATATTGTGTAAATTCAATTTACAACATATGTACTGAATAGGGAGTCTGAATATAATGTGTAATGGAAAATATGTATTGATAGATAATGTATGCCCTTAGATTATTCTTAGATTATCAGTATTGTGATTCGATTGTGACAATTCACATGAATATGTAATAGAATTCTGCAGTAATTAGCAAACATGATAGGAAAAATGCTGGTAATAGAATTATTTGCACATTACTTATAATAGATTATTTTGATTTGTATTATCAATATGCAAAAAGAATGCATACAGCATTTTATAATTTGTTATCAACTTTCGAACTTAATTTGAGATTGATACGAATTACTTTTGTTGTATGTCATTAATCCAGATCTTACATACATTGGTATGAATGCAGAATTCTACGGTTGGTTAATATTATAAAAGAATTAATACAAATAATCTATTATAAATATTAATTTTCAATTGCAAAAAACTGATCAATCAAATGTTTCAGTTGTTACAAAGGCACAGGCCAAAAATTTAATAGATGCTGGTGTTGATGGCTTACGTGTGGGTATGGGTTCAGGATCAATATGCATAACCCAAGAAGTTATGGCATGTGGTAGACCTCAAGCTACTGCAGTGTACCATGTAGCAGGCTACGCAAAAAAATTTGGGGTGCCAATAATTGCAGATGGAGGAATACAATCAATTGGCCATATAGTGAAAGCCTTAGCATTGGGTGCTTCAACAGGTCAGTTTGCAATTAAAATCGAAATAAAAATGATACATTCTAATCCTATAATTATATTATAGTTATGATGGGTTCCTTATTGGCGGGAACATCAGAAGCACCAGGAGAATATTTCTTTTCCGATGGAGTCCGCTTGAAGAAATATAGAGGTATGGGAAGCCTTGAAGCCATGGAAAGACAAGATGCAAAGGGATCTGCTATGAGTCGTTATTATCAAAGGTCTGTTAGATAATGTAAACAATCAAAATTAAGTTTTTAGTAGTAGTTGTGAATTAAAAGCCAATTTATATTAAATTAATGTACAAAATTTTCAGTGAAATGGATAAACACCGTGTGGCCCAAGGAGTAAGTGGAAGTATTGTAGATAAAGGATCTGTATTGCGTTTTGTTCCTTATTTGCAATGCGGTTTGCAACATAGCTGCCAGGATATCGGTGTAAAATCGTTTGCCTCTCTCAGGTAAACTTTATATTATATATACTGTATATATATATATATATATATATATATATATATAACTATATATATATATATATATATATATATATAACTATATATATATATATATATCTATATATATATATATATATATATATAACTATATATATATATATATATATATATATATAAATGTTTCTATATTTTTAGGGAAAGCATATATTCTAATAATCTTCGTTTTGAGAGAAGAACTCATTCAGCTCAAAAGGAAGGCAATGTACATGGGCTCTTTTCATATGAAAAAAGATTATATTAATATAGCATTTAAGAACATTTCAATTTCAACATACTTAACAGATGGACCAGGATAAAATATAATTATATATTGATATATATATATATATATATATATATATATATATATATACCAACTTGTTTATACTTATGTATATATTCATGTGCATGTACACTGGCATCAATATATACCATAGTTTAAAAATTTGTGATTAATGTTGTCGAATGTATCGTTACAAAATTTATTTTGATAAGAGTATATTTTTTATTTAATTTAATACATTAATTGCAAATAGTCTATTATTTTAATAAATTCCATTATTTATTAAGATAAAATTCATACATTTTCATATTATGATATATAAAATAACAAGCACTTTCTGAAAGTTTTTATCAAACATGAAATTTTAATGTCTTTTCTTTGGGGTAAGATATTGAAACTTCAAAAACAAAAATGAAATCTTTTTGATTTTGTTTTTGCTTCTTATAATAATTTCGAAATTAGGCAATATTGTCTGTGGTTGTGCTTCTAGGTAAAAATTTCTGCCACGTCTTTGATATTATTTGAATTCATAATGATTATTATGTTGCTAGCTTTTGAAAATCTTGTGAAAAGTATGCCGTTATGACTGGCAGCAGGTGAAAATCATAGAAAAACAAACAAACAAAGTGGTCGAATACCGTGGTTAGAAACACAAAACAAGAATGTTATTATATTTTTTATACTCTCACTTTATTGGGTAGATATAAAATATAGTAGATATCACATCAAAAAGGGTTAACTACTTTTTTCTGATAGAAAATTGTATGAATTTCTTGTATGGTGGGGCGTTTTTGCACCTAACCTAACTACAACTATAGCATTTAAAACCAATGGAGATCACATCCAATTTAAATGAATTATTAATATGAATTTTATTTATTTTAAAGATGGAATCATTACAGGTTACAAAGCTATGAGTGCAAATGTCGCGCCTGTTCGCACTATGTATTGAACAGGATAAGAACTTGTAGACTCAGATTATTCATACAAAAATTGAAGATGGAAGAATATCAAAACCGATTAAAAAAAAATTCTTGGAGAACAAATTTATAAAAGAGAGTTAACTAAGCTGTTCTTCTAATTAATTCATCTCTGATCACATCACTATCATCTTACTTTGTGTGTTCACTATTATCCAATCTTGTAAGTAAATTGTCCAATCTTTTTGATCTTTTGTCAACGTTTTCTCAAAGACAGCTGCAAAAATACCATTTTTTTCGGTTAGTTTTTGTAGACGATCGCGCAAGTTGTTTCTTTAGAATTAGATGAAAAAAATGATAATTATTTGTTCACGTTTTGGACATAAATCACGAGCCGATTTCCGCTAGATAGTTCGGAATTTTGCTGGTGAGTTTTAGGTAAAAATCGGCTATTTCATAATTAATTGCGAAAAAATCTCCTTTTTTATCAAAGTTTTTACGATGATAAGGTCGATAGAGTTATACTATGGACCGACCCCTTGGGCTTTGCCATGGATCCTCTATTAACCCGATATCAATTATAAATAATTTTCTAACTGTAAGTTATTATTATTGAATATTTAGTCTTTAAACGAGCACCATAGTGTTTATATTATAATAATAATATTTATTATTTATTATCATTGATTTTTTATTATTACTAATACTGGGTTGCGCAATACTTTCAAACTTTTCTGGTGACGATTTTAAAGTTTGTCAAATTTTCACTTCTTATTTATTAAATCAATTATTTAATATCGGAAAGTTTATGCATCTTGCGTTAAGCTAAATGGAACTTATTAAAATTATAAAGTAATAATAATATTTTTGTATTATTATTACTAGAAATGATAATATGAACATTGCAAAATTATTTAAAATTTACCATTTTATTCTACAAAATAATTTACAAACATAATCAAATATCATCAGAAACTTCCGCAACGATTTCTCCGATTTTATTAGATATTCCCAGATGGTAAGTCGCTTCAGTCACGCCAAATAGTGGAGCAGCTACCAATGACCTGCGAAATGCGCCATAGTAAAATCCCCGCATTCCATAATTGATATAAATATTCCTAAAAATAATGATATAAATTGAGTGGTCACGGAATAACTAGTTAAACTTGAAAAGTGAAAAAAATAAAGTAACTGTATTACATGATGCTGTCGCGAATGGTCTTGAACTGGTTAATATTCTTCCAACGACAATTTGAAATATGGCTACGAATTACTTCGAAAGGTGTCACGAGTGCTGATGAACATCCTCCTGAGACAAAGCCACAAGCAAATGACTTGCTATTTAATATAATCGTCGATATATATAATGTATTAAAAGAAAATGCAATACAAGCAGTTACAAATATTTTCATACCTAGAAGAATTATGTCTTTTGTCCGATCCTCCGTTCATTAATTGAAAAAATGGGAAGAATACTATCGTAAACATAATATCTCTTAAGAGAGTACTGATTGTCAGGGCCATCAGCCCTTGTTGATACATGTACCGGATTATCGAGAAAGAATTCGGACGCAGAGCAAGCACAGCTCTCGACGCTGTAACTGTTTAAACTATTTTTATTTTAAATCCGGTTTTATTAAAAAGCGATAAACTACTATTTACTAACATCCAAGTCCAAACAACATTCCTTCCGCAGCTTGAAGTCTGCATCTGAACATTTCTAATGGTGTTGTCACGCACTGGCACATGCCGGCCATACCTGCTGCACAAACTTGCTCGCCCAAAGGAAGTTCTCTGCAATAATTCACAAATATTGCTTAATATGCAACAAAGTTTATTTCTTTCAAGAAATTATTGAAAAATACTTACTCATCATCACGGCCTGAATCCATTTTATAGGAGAAGTAATCGTTGAATGTGAGTTTGATGGCTTTCTCTGGTGATACTGACAGAATATTGAAGGAAGCCTTTTTGTATAATCCAAAATAACCATCTCTTCTCCAGGTCCATTTCAAGCATTCGATTCTAACATCATTATATATAAATATTTATCAAAAAGCGAAAATATTAGAGGGCTTACAGCGATCTGTAAAGTTTTCTATTTGTAACTGGACTCATTACTTGATTTTCGAATCTGTTCTTCACTATATTTATGGGATGAGCAACAGCCACTCCCAATGCGCCGGCTATGAATCCATCAGATAATTTATACAACCATCTTAAAATACCAAATCATTGTTAAAAAGTAAAAGTACACTGTAATACCAATGTTAATTATTTCCATTACGGGAATACATTGAATGATTCTGGAGGATCGAGCTTAGATTCATTGTCTTTCGCATCTTCCATCTATTATACGCTACAGGAAATATATAAAATTGTATACTAAAATTAACGCGTTACTTATTTTTTTATTTGAACCAAAAATATCTGAAAACTATTGCTAGAGTTTCAATCATATATTCAATTGGAAAAATGTCGTATACGAAGCCAGATTTTATCTTCTTTGCTATGCTAATCACGTATGACATAAATACGTTAGAATTCTTTTCAAAATCAAACATCTCGAAAATGATTTAAATTTAATACGTCAAAAAAAAAATGGCCCGAATCAAATCCGGCACAGGCAAGCTTTGGTTTGCACCAACAAATGAAAATCGACAGAACGGATCGAACAAGTAAATTTATCGAATCAAGAAAACATTAGTTAGTTCCTTAAAATATCTATTTGTAATTGCAAATAAAATAGCAGTAATATGGTGAGTGTGATTAATCATACATATATATTTATATGAGCCTATTTCGAAAACAAATAATATTTATCATAATAATGTTTAAAATCAAATGTCAATTTTTACACCATTAATCCAACAAATGAGAATTTATTGACTTTATAAGAAATTATATTTATTTTTTAGATTTTTTTTCTAGATAAATATATAAATAAATGTAGATGAATCAAAATAATGAATGGAAACAATTATACATGTCATTTGACGTTTGTAATATATTTTCAGCGTGAATGCATCTCAGTACATGTCGGGCAAGCCGGAGTGCAGATTGGCAATGCATGTTGGGAGCTTTATTGTTTGGAGCATGGCATTCAGCCTGATGGCCAAATGCCATCTGATAAGCAAATTGGCGGCGGCGATGATTCGTACAATACTTTCTTTAGTGAAACTGGCGCCGGAAAACATGTTCCTAGGGCGGTTATGGTCGATTTGGAGCCTACGGTAGTCGGTGCGTCAATGTAATAATTATAATATCAAAGTGAATATTAACTAAGAATAGAAGAATAAATGGTCTTGGTAGATTGAATTTGACTAAAATCGTAAAGTTTTCATTTAGCATTTATTCCTCATTTAGATGAAATTCGTACCGGAACATATCGTCAATTGTATCACCCCGAACAACTGATTACTGGCAAAGAAGATGCTGCTAACAACTATGCTAGGGGACATTATACTATTGGCAAAGAACTCGTCGATATAGTTTTGGATCGGATGAGAAAACTGGCGGATCAATGCACAGGTCTTCAGGTGGGGATCTAAATAATGCAGATAATTTTTCTTTCAAAGCCCCAATACGATATAACTATCCCCAAGACAAATTAATTATTAATGCACACTACATATAACAAAGTCGCATATTATTAACTCAACTTTTAACGTGATATGATGATATGAATGATATGATATTTGAATATTATATTATATTATTCGTAAAAATAGAAAATAATTGTTTTCCAAATAGAAAAATAGAAAATAATTATTTTATTTTGTAATATTCAAATATCATGTCACATTTAAAATTGAATTTAGTTAGCTAACTGACAATTCAATTCAATTTATGAAGTTGCTAATTTTTTTATTTTTGTTTTTTAAATTTATTTTAATTTATATTTATTATATCCAACTGTGCGATTTTTCACATCCGGCACGTAACTCTAAATTACGGGGTCCTCTGCGACGCATGCCATTTTTTCTAGGGACCCCTCCTCTCAAAATTATATAAACACGCACGTTAATTTTTTTATTTTTAATAATTCTGGATTTAATATATAAAAATTAGGTATTAAATCGCATAAAATACATGGATTTGAAATTTATTTAGAAGATTGAGGTGATTTATGCTACCTAAAACTATTTCTAAATTCTTATTTTCAGTCCAGACTTGTTAAGACATACAAAAATTTCAGTATGTTCAGTATTGCGTGCTAGAATATAACTTAAAGAGCACGATTTCTATCTGGTATATTTTGAAAGATTTTTTTTAAATTTACAAAAAAAATTGAGGGTTTTTTGCGAAAAAATGTGCAATTTTCTGCAATTTCTGAATAAACGTTTGACCGATCGCAAATCAACGTTGATCTTATTCAGTTTCATCAATTGGCTTTGGTGAAAACATCGACGAAAAGTCAAATTTTGGCTTACATAAACTCATTTTTTTTTTTTTTTTTAAAATTAGGATCAAATAATTCAGGATGACTTGAAACATCTAGAAAACATTTTTAGCCATTCGGATTATCTTGTCGAAACATAAACTTCTTTTCTGAAAAGTTAATTAACAGTTTACAACATTGAAAAATCAAACTAATAAATGATGAAATAATATCTTCATTTCATCAGGGGTTTCTAATTTTTCACTCTTTCGGCGGTGGAACTGGTTCTGGTTTTGCTTCTTTGCTTATGGAACGTTTGTCAGTCGACTATGGAAAGAAGAGCAAATTGGAGTTTGCAATTTACCCAGGTAAAAATTAAAAATAATCTTAATCAAATTAAACTTGAAACTATACACAAAAAATTTATTGTAGCTCCTCAAGTTTCTACGGCTGTGGTTGAACCATACAATTCCATATTAACGACCCATACGACTCTTGAGCATTCTGATGCTGCTTTCATGTGTGACAACGAGGCGATATACGATATTTGCCGTCGAAATTTGGATATAGAACGACCGACGTATACTAATTTGAATCGAATTGTCGGCCAGATTGTGTCGTCCATAACAGCATCCCTTAGGTTAGTAGTCTCTCTATATATAAAAATAAGTCGGGTTTTCCTTCCTGACGAAATAACTTCAGAACGCACGAACTGATTTCGACAATTTTGCATTCGTTGGAAAGGTCTCGGGCTCCGCAAGGTTTATAGCTAAGAAAATTAGTTGTGCATGGCATCGTGCCTTAATGCAAGCTGCTGGAACTTCACGCACCGTAATTAAAAATTTGAGTAATGACATTAGTCAGAATTATCAGAATTATGCTTGGTTAAGTCAACGAGCAATTCTTGCCGCAAAGAATAATGATGTACACGCACTGAATTTCACCATTTAATCAAAAATTGCTGGCGATTTGGTGACATACCAATGATTCCGACTAGTCTTCCATTTGACTTCAAACGCTTGCAATTCCCAGTTCGTCTTGCGTTCGCAATAACAAGTCGCAAGGCCAATCGCTTAGTGTTTGCGGGATAAATTTCAAATAGATTACTTAGAAAATCATTGTTTTTCACATGGGCAGTTATACGTTGCCTGTTCACGAGTTGGAAAACCATCCGCTTTGTTTGTGTTAACGTCAGACCAAAAAACAAAAAATGTGGTTTACCAAAGAGCACTTCAATGGATAATTTGCGGATTCACTTTCATTTACTTAGAGAAGTTCAACTAAAAAACACTTCATTTTTGTAATCGAAATAAATTCATTACTGTTGTATAATAAAATCACATTTTTCCTTTTCAAATATAAAACAAACAAAAAATTTCTTCATCTTTCTCACGAAACCATCTGGTGGCGAAACGGAGTTCGTCGGGTTTGCTAGTATTATTATATAATTAATAATATGAAAATATATTACAAACTTATATTAATTTGTGCGCATAATATATAGGGATCATATGAATCTATACTATCTGGACTCAAATGAAAATTCAAATATTTGTGAGCACATAGTGCCTACTTCAATATCTAAATTCCAAAAAAATTGTGCTAATGATTTGAATGTTTGTGGCGTTTTTAATTTTGATATTCATGGTTGATGCTCACAATTGATATAAAACTAATGAAATAAAGATCGCAGCATGTGGAGCATGCCACAAATTGATTTGATTACTTACTTACAGTACTAGCCGTGATTTAGTTTAAATTAAAAAGTTGAACAAATATGTGTATTTTTTTACATTTAGTTTAACGTTACTACTATGTGTTCAAGTATTTTACCGACTTACCAATTTACCTGTCAACCTATTTACCTATCAACCCGTTTCACATGTCTACCAATTTACCTGTCAACCTGTTTATCCGTCTTGTTAATTGTCTATCTACCAATTCACCTGTCCTGCCTACCATTTTACATATCCTTCAATTCACCTGAACACCAGCTATTCAACAAATTATCTTTTCACCAATTTACTTGTCTACCAATTCACCTGTCTACCAATTCACCTGTCTACCAATTTACCTATCGACCTGTTTATCAATACACTATTTTACCTGTCAGACAATTTACTTGTCATCTTGTTATAAATGTTTACCAATTAACTTGTTCAATAAGTTACCTGTTGAACAATTAACCTGTTTATCAATTTGTCTACTAATTTACTTATCAACCTGTTTATCAATCTACCATTTTACCGGCCTACAAATTTACCTGTTATCTCGTTCTACATGTCTATCAATTAACCTGTCAACCTGTTTATTTGTCTACATATTCGGCTAACAGTTCTCCTCTCTACCATTTTACATATCCTCCAATTTACTTGTTCACCAGTTTACCTTTATAAATTCTCTAAATCACCTTATTTATTTACGCGTTATAACAAATTAAAGCTCAAATTGATTCTGCGTTTTAGTTAGAAAACATTTGTATGTGAAAAAGAAAAGGGCTGTATTTAGGGTTATCCCGGTAATTATTCGATTTTTTCTCGCCGTAAGAACCATCCTTGGACTTCAACAAACATTTTAAAAAAAGAATTGGCCAAATTGGTCTAGGCGTTGTATAGTTATACGCTTACCAACACATTTTGCAATTCATTTTTATATATAAGATTTATTCATTTTCTATAGTATTTCTATAGTTTAGTCATAACTTTGAATAAATTATGAAAATAGTTCTCAGAAATGTTATCTTATTCAGTATTTATTCATATTTCATAGTATTTTATAGAGTCGTAACTTTGAAGGACCGATTTGAATGGTTGAAAAAGCAATCAATTTCTATTGATAAGGAGATGTGCTGATTAGTTTTTGAGAAAGGTTGATTCAGCCGTTTCCGAGGTACGATGCAAAGAGTGCAGTTACTAGAAACTCGGTTTTTACGAGAACCGGGCATCCGATTGCAATGATTAAAAAAACATTTAATTCGTAATTTTGGGGAGATGTTAGTGATTAGCTTTTGCCAAAGGTAGGTGCGGCCATTTCAAAGATACAGAGCTAAATGTGCATATCATGGCATCCGATTTTGAATGATTCAGAAAACTTTCTGCTTGTGTCGACAAAACAATTGCTTTTGAAGAGAAAAAAATATTTTAAAATATTTTTTTTTCAAAAAATTTTTTTGAATATCAAAAACAATTCGGACTTTAATTTTAATTCAGCCTAAGCTTACTGATATACTTTAAATAAATAATTTTAACTTTGAAATTCAGTTTATATCATTCTTATAAATATTAGACAATGTAACAGTATTTATAATAATATATTTGAATACATGTTTTCAAATAGATTATTTTAAATACTCGAGAAGGGAGAAGGGTAGGGGAAGTTCCAGCAATTTGCCTTAAGGCACGATGCCATACACCACTAGTTATTATTCATATACTTATTGAATTATCATTGGATAGTTTATACATAATACATACTGCATACTTAAATTTCGATGGTCAATATCTATTACCAATACTATTAAATTTGCATACCGTGAATAGTTAAGTAATAGCAGTCCAAAGTAGATTATCTGGTCAATAATCGACAATAGCATGCCATAGATGTCATCTGTGAAAATTTAATTAATTCATTGTAGCAAATAAAATTATTTAGTGCTAAATGATTGTTGTAGGATACGCCTCTAAAATAAGGCTTTTCGAAGTTGGAGTACAAATGTGTTATTAGGTTTTCTTGGAGTTTTTTTACTTTTGGACAATTCTTTGTTGTCTTGTTAGATCAAATGAAAGAATTAATAAGATTCACTAATTTTTCTAATATAATCTTAAATGTTTTTATAAAATTATGTTTAAACTATCAAGTGGAATTATGAAAATATAACATAATTTTAATAGGCAGTATTAGTACTTCTTAATAGGCAGTATTAGTACTTCTAGAAAAAAACAAAAAAAAATTCAATTTATAATTGTTTAATTAAATGTTTAACAATTATTTATTCTAGAGAAAAGTATCCTTTAAATATGCATGTTCAAAGTTAAAGTAATGATATATTAGTAAATTATATTGTGTGGTTATTAAATTAACGCTATCAGGTAATTTCATAAAGGATAAACATATTACGAAAATATTTACCATATA